GTCCCTATTGATTTATCTTCTGGCATCACCCTTGAGTTTAAGACCACAGGACTCCCATGGCCTTGAGACTATTTTTCCAGAAACTTACGCAATGTTCAAGTAGAAACCCAGTTACAGAAGTCATTCTGTAACTATGGCTCTGTCTGGGTGAAACTCACACCCGCTTCTCTAAGCATTTCATTTTCTATCAAGTGGCATTTCTCAGGATCCTAACACTGGAGGAAGCTTTTCATTCTTTGGGCACTATTCGAACTACTTTGCAGCACCCACCAATTTTGTCTGTCCAAAGGATCGCCTGGAAAGAGAACATCTATTTTTCTGGCTCTGTAGTAACATGAGATTCAGCCAATAATGAGTTGTTTGATTTATCAGCAATGTTTATACTTTTTTCTTCAGAACCAACTTGGCAAAGAATAAACCATTAGGATTTAGAAATATTCTATACAAGCTGAGAAATCAAGGGTTGATCACTGTTTTAAAAATTGTTCTCTGAGGGGCTGGCAGATTTTTTGGTATACTTATCTAAGCAATTTCAGCAGATTATTATTTAACTGATGGCTCTGGATTAGTGGATCCATCTGGAATGTTTTTGGGTCACTGTTACAAAAACAGAAAAAATACACTCAATTGTTTAACTGTCTGGAATGGTATCCCAATTACAGGCATGAAAGAAATCTGAATGGAATCTATTTGATATAGTTATGGTAACAGAAGCTATGTATGATTTAATAAACAAACAGAGATTTATCAGTCAGCATAACATACTTCCATAAATATTTCCATATAACAGAGTTTCTCACATTGTGTTCCTCCATATGTTTTGGACTTCAGTTCCCAGAATTCCTAACAGCTGGTAAGTTGGCTAGGATTTCTGGGAGCCAAAGTCCAAAACATTTGGAGGAGCACAGTTTGAGAAACACTGTTGTAGATTACAGACGGAAAGAAGTAGTATTCTTTAGTGCATGAGAGTTGCATCAGAAGTATCATAGGGAAAAGTTCTAATCTGAGTAGAGTCTCCATGTGTGTGTACATGTTTCTCGTTTCTATTTACCACGGTCTGCCGTTTTGTTCCCACATTCAACTACTTCATTTTTGGTGAAACATATTCCTTCAAGTACTGCCCTGGGAAATGCATGGTGATATCGAATCTAGGCCACAATAATTTGAGGATTCTGCTCGGCAAGGAATGTTAGCAATTAATTAAGTTTCCAGATTAGAATTAACTAACCAAAGGCATCTGAAGACATACGACAGAGGCAGATTTATTCATCCATAGCCACAGGAAGGAGACCTGTGGACTGACGCCCAAGAGACAAGTCTGCCCACATGTGCTCCTGAAAGGAGCTAAATAGAGTCTGTTTCATTGTTAGAGCCGCCGCAAACTAGGCTCCTGCGGGAGCAAACCTTGCGAGCACATCCTTGACGTCATGAGGCTGCGCCTCTCTCTCCGCCCCTTTCTCCGCCCCTTTCTCCGTGCTAGAGAAGAAAACCACTGGTTTTTCCTTTGCTAGGGCAGCATTGCCAGCGTTCTCTCTCAGCTGAATTCTGCCAACTGAGAGAGTACGCTGGCAATGCTGCCCTAGCAAAGGAAAAACCACGCTGGCACGGAGAAAGGGGCGGAGAAAGGGGTGGGGTGAGAGGCGGAGTCTCATGACATCAGGGACGTGCTGGCAAGGTTTGCTCCCGCAGGAGCCTAGTTTGCGACGGGTCTTACAGTTTGAATCCTCCCTCCCTGGCTCAGGATTGACTGAGTCTTTGTCAGTGTGTCTATAGCACTAGTTCACTTCAGTCTTCCTGGACCTTAGTACTAGAGTTCTTAACAAAGGAACTGCAAAGGAAGACTGGAAAAAGAAACAGCAGAATTGGAACATGTCCACTAATTCCAGTCTGTTAACAGTGAGTTGAACAAAGGTAATGGTTTCCCAGAACACTACACATATTCTAAGACTAGTTATCACTCCAGACTGGAAGCTGTCTTGGTCAGTTTATCAAATCACCTTTCTGGTTTCCAGCAGCATTACGCCTTATGAATGGTGATTCATGTTTTTCTGCTAACCGTGACTTAAGGCAACATATTCCCTCCTAATTTTGTCCCACAATGACTATCACTAAACCTTAGTCACTTCATCACTGTTTCACTTAAACTGGGATTTAGTCAATGAAATCTTATGCTACCAACTTCTTTCTCTATGTCTCTCTGGTGCTGCAAGGTCCCTTTGCATAATGAAAATTCATCCAAGAATTTGAAAAAAATCTTTCTTTGGAAATTTGTAGTCGAAAGTAGTAGTTGAAATTATCTGGTGGAGCAGATAAAGGTATGCATCAAGCCAGATGACACTGTAGGATCAATGAGAGGAACTGAGGGTGGTTCATATGTGCCTAGTTTGAATTGCTATTACATGAACAGGGTGCTAGAGGAAAGAAAATGCAATCTATAAGTGCTACATTGAAATGCTTGCTGTGCAACACTGAGGAGATATTTGTTAAAAGCAGTCTCAAGACATTTTGAACAGTTAACAGGAGAATGTATTGTCAAAGGCTTTCATGGCCAGAATCACTAGGTTGTTGTGAGTTTTCTGGGCAAACAGTATTTAAAAACTCTAAAATCATTACAGTAAATAAAGAACAACACTCAAAAACAGAGGAATTCCAGACAAGAAACAATCAGGTTCAGCTAATCACCTCCTAACAAAGGATTACCCCATGCAGTAAGAAGCCAGACCTTGAAACTGCTAGGCCATTGAATGCTAATCAAGGTGACCAATTTAAACATCACACCTACCTCAAACAGACAAGTGTTTTTTCTCCCACCCTGGACATTTCGCAGATATATAAACCCCATTTTCCTAATTTCCAGCAGACCTCACAACCTCTGAGGATGCCTGACATAGATGCAGGCAAAACATCAGGAGAGAATGCTTCTGGAACATAGCCATACAGCCCAGAAAACTCACAACAACCCAGTTAACAGAAGAGTTGGCTTAATCTTTTTCCTAGTTCTATTTTAAGAAACTGTTTTATATTTGTAAACATTCATGCAATAGGAGATGATGATTTCAAGCACAGAAATTATCAGTGAAGGAAGAGCTTGCTGTTTCCTCTTTCTGGCACCCTCAGACATTTTCCAATGTCATCTTCATTAATAACATTGATAGGCACACACTTCTATCTAGTCCAGTGCTGTACCAGAGTCCAGAATGCATCTAGAGCTGTTAATATTAACATTAATATTGTTCCCTCAAATACGCTTGTCGACTTATCACCATTCCATGAATTCCATAGGGTTTTTAGGCAAGGATTACTCAGCAATGTTTTTGCCAGTTCTTTCATTTGAAATATAGTCCTCAATAACTGATATTCACTAGTAGGCACCCATCCAAGTACTAACCAAGACTGACCCTGATTATCTTCCATATCAGATGAGATCAGGTGACTTTAGAGTGTTTAGGCACATACAAATATGCCATTAACCAATTGTACACTTTTAGTGGAAATTATAGCATTTCATTAATCATGTTCAAATAGTATATTTAAACATGAGAAAGCTATTAAAATAATTAAAAACAGCAAAATAAATGGCTATAAATCATCTCAAAAGTAATCTGCTAAAGTTGCATGAATTGTTTATCATTACTCAAACCATTAATGTTTTTGTCATTGTGATGATTAAAATTAACAACTCTTAAAGGTATTTTTTAAATAGTTTTTTCTCTTCTTAGCTCTGTCTGTAACATTTAGTTTATGCCCCAAGGAAACACATCTCTTAGATCAGAAATGAGTCTGAGAACCTCTGGGCATGTTTGCACCAGTATTAGCAAGTATTGATACCTTTACAAATGTGCTGCTTCTGTAATCCAGGTAAGTAAAGCCTGATGAGAAATCATTCTTAGGGATCTTACTTTATCATGGACAGTGGACGTATCCTCCATCTAGAAAAACAACCAGTTGATTTAGACAAGTGAGAACAGGCTGTATGGCACAACCTGTTAGAGGGAAATGGCTGGGGAACTTCAGAGTAAATGTTGAGAGACTGTGTCTAATAATCATATGGCTGGCACTAATAGAATCATTGCCTTGGCTCTTGCATAAGAAGAAAGGTTGGTTTACATCAAATCAAATTAATCAATCAGTCAGACAATCAAAATAAATATATATCAATTCAGGCAAGGTTTGTTAGCTTCTGTTCTTTCATAAAGTAGGAAGAAGTAACTTGTTCACACACTCACACACATATATGAGATGCACTTTATTTCAGAAAACAATCACAACATTTATTACAAGGAAATCAACAACAACAATAACATGGTAGCCCATCAATTTAAGTATCAGTCTGGAGCGTTTACTTATTTATATGGAATATTGATTTTACAACAAATTCGCACTATTTATTACAAACTAAACTTGCTCAAATATTACTACTGCTACTATATTTGCAAGACCAAGAACATCAATAATAATGTGATAACCTATCAATAAAAGAAGTTTGAAATATTGTGTCCTTGATGAAACCAGCATTTTGTAAAATTCAGGCAAAGAACAAATGGAATTGTCGACCCACGTTCATTTATGAGAACTTAAATCAGTGTATTTTCTATTAGAATAAGCAGCATAAACAATACATACCCATAAATGCGTTTTTATTACTATCTATAATTATAAGCCTGTGGTATAGGTTCCTGTTCCTCTGTATTTTCTCTCATTGCCTAATAAACTGGAGAAAACTGGCAGCGTATTTCAAATGGCAGGGTGTGCTGTGATTTTAACGTGATACTCCAGATTTTATTTCATGCAATGGAAATGCTGATTAAGACATGCCATTGTCTGTCGTCTTCAACATCTGCCTTGCTGTGATTGGTGATATGCTGATTAATACTTTTTGAGCTGGGTTTAGAAGATCAAAGGGTTAATACCCAATTTCTCCCCCGCTTCACTTCTTCCCTCTCCCTTTTGCTCTCCCAACTCCATGTTCTTTGATTTGTGTGTCTTTTCTTCATTCGCAGCTGTGGACATGGATGGAAGACCTGCAGAAGGAGCTCTTGGAAGATGTCTGTGCTGACTCCGTGGACGCGGTTCAAGAGCTTATTAAGCAGTTCCAGCAGCAGCAAACTGCGACCCTTGATGCCACCCTCAATGTAATCAAGGAAGGTGAAGACCTCATCCAGCAGCTCAGGTACAGTTATTTCATGGCACCAGGAGCACAGTTGAGCAAAGTGGCACGACTTCATATTTAATGGGAGAGGTTATCATTGCATGTTTATCTTATTTTGCACATTCCAAAATATTTTGTTTTATTGAAACTGCAAAGAATGATTTGTAGAGACTGCTAAAAATAGTTTTAAATCACTTTGAGGCACCATTTGTATTGGATGTGAATCTAAATGGGAATGATTAAGTAATTAGAGTGTAAATATTTTTGAAGTGGATATTTACTGCCTACACTTAAACAGAGGCCCAGTGATTTCTCTCCTTACTTCTACTTAGTAGTGTCTGGCAACCACTAAATAAAATTTGGTTTCATATAATTCTGAATACAATTTTTACTACCTTGAGTAAATTTCCTTTTGCAAGTTCCGTAAGGCATTAAGAATATTAATATCTTCATTTAGTGCCAGCTACTTGTAATTGCACTTTCATCATGAATTCAAAAACATTGTTTGATATAATTTAGTGTTTACTTCATTTTGACAGCAACTAAGATGTAGCAGTCTTTCCAAAGACTGCTCTCAACTAACTTTAGCTTTATGCAGACTTGGAAAGATTATTGAAGAAAGTCAAAGTGAGAAGGCAGGCTTACAGTTGAAGATTAAGAAAAAAAATAGTGACCACAGATGATTTTCATAACCTTAAAGTAGACGATGAAGACAGTTCAAAAGTTTCCGTGGTTTGATTCAATCATTAATTGGAATGGAAGTGCAGTCAAGAAATTAGAAGTCTAGGACTTGGAAGGGCAGCTGTGAAGGAACTTGAAGTTTAAGTTATATCACTGAATGCTAAAGTTAGGATAATTTATGCCACCATATTTCCTACAACTATATGTGGTTGTGAAAGCTAGACAGAGAAGAAAGCTGATGGGAAGAAAAATCAACTCAGCTACTTTCAGATGTTCTAAATTGCCAGCTTAATGAGGGAGAAATGAGGCACATCCCTTGCTCCATCTCCAGTCACCATCTTGATTGCCCCCCCCCCCCACGTAGGAGGAAAATTGTTTGCAGGGAAAAGCCTGTTTTATGAATGAGTTATTGTCTTGTTTTTGAGGTTATAAACTACATAGATATCCTAAAGATCTTCCATTCCAGAAATGGTGGTGGAGCTAACATGCGTGTTGCCATCTCCCCACCCCAAATGATATGTGAGGGAACTTAGAATATGAAAACGGGTTTCTGTCATCCGGTCTAATAAAATAGCATTTGTAATTTAGTCTTTCCCCCTTAAATTTAGTAACTTAATTTAAATAATGTTATCAGAAATATCCCAGGACCCATCTTACAACTTTTGAAAAAATGAATATATCAACCTTTTTCTACAGTCCAGTCACTTTGTATGGACAACAGAGCACACAGTGAGACTGAGCAGTGGATTACCACCTAATAGTTTTCAGTTCATCTTCAGTACTTTCATTTTTTTCTTTACAGTAATCCTAGCTTCCGGTATTTGCTCTAAAATCCATTTTTGATGTCATTGAAGCTATACTATCTAATTCAAAAACAGGATTTATTACTTTAGGTTGTAGAAAACATATTTGATTCTGATGCTCTACAAAAGATTAAGATCCATTTGACAACTTTAGGTAGCTACCCAGACACTCGTTTAACGTTAAAGATGAGGCAGTAAAGCAGAAAAGTTGCAATACAGGAGTTCAGGTTTCCTCTGAGCTTATTTTGCTCTCTAATTGCTCTTTCCTGTCAGTAGCAATGCTTCAGATATCATTGTAAAACAAACACAGGACATCCATGTTGGATGTAACAGCAAACAGGGAAGCTGCCAAGTGCTTCTTAAAATCCATAGTAGTTTTCTACGATTGCAGAACAGTTAGACAGTCCTCTTCTTACTTAATTCAGAACTGGCTTGTTAATGTATATATATATATTCTTATTTTAAAAAAAGGTATTGGAATAGTAATCTAACTCAGTCTGATTTTAAATACTTTTTTGAAATGAGACCTAGAGATTCCTTGAGACAACAGTTTAAATTAAATCCATGCATAATGAAATTCACATAAGTCAGAACCGCAAATGTGGAGGGATGACTTGCGGTTGTCATGTACATTTATTGATTTATTTAGAGCATTTGTATCCCGTCCTTCTCAACCCTCGAAGGGGGACTCAGGACGGCTTACATTTGGTAGTCATTATATGCTGATAAACAGTTAGAGCACAAAATAAACATAAACAGGTCAACAGCAATAAAAATACATTAAAAAAGCAATAAAAATACATTTTAAAAATATTGGCCCTTAAAATATTAACACAACCAAGTCTGAGTCCTTAAATCCAAATCATAGTCCAGAGTTCCAGTCCAAGGTCTCTTAATTGACAATTCTCACGAGTCATTACTGTTGTTGCTCAGCCAGCTACCTGAATGCTTGGTCCCAAAGCCAAGACTTGAGTTTCTTCTTGAAGAAGAGGAGAGAAGGCGTCACCCTGATTTCACTGGGCTGTGCATTCCAGAGAAGGGGAGCCACCACCAAGAAGGCCCTATCTTTCATCCTCACCAATCACGCTTTTGAAGGTGGTGGGATCGAGAGCAGAGCCTCCCCAAATGATTGTAAACTCTGCGGGGGTCATAGAGGGAGATAAATTCGGACAAGTAAACTGGGCTAGAACCGTATAGGGCTTTATAGGTCAAGACCAGCACTTTGAATTGTGCTCAGAAGTGGACCGGCAGGTATAAAGTGGATACTTGCATGTATCATAGTATTTTGAACATTGTGCTTGTACAAAGCAGTCCTGAAGTAGACAATTCTGACGTTGTGTGAGTGCAAGCAGAGAACTGAAATTTCTTGAATGAAACTTAAGAAGGATTGCTAGTAAGGGTCTTCAAGAAATTGGTACACTTAGCTTCTCTTTTCTTTTAGGGGTAAAAATCTTGTTAGATATGTAAGGATGCATACAAATCAGGAAGAGCAGGCAGTCAGCAGCTGAAAGAGGTGAATTCTGGATACAGCATCCATCGTCCTTTGAGTTGTTCCACTGTTTGTATTATTGAGAATGTTTAATTATTTTCCCTTCCCTTTCACAACACTGGGTTGTAAGCTTCCATCTTTGACTTTACCACAGGGATTCAGCAGTCTCCAACAATAAAACACCGCACAATAGCTCCATCAGCCATATAGAATCGGTCCTCCAGCAGCTTGATGAAGCCCAAGTACAGATGGAAGAACTCTTCCATGAAAGGAAAATTAAGCTAGACATTTTCCTTCAGCTCCGGATTTTTGAACAGTACACCATTGAGGTAATTAACTATACTCTTTAAAAGGGAAGAACCTTTTGCACAATGGGAGTTAGCACAATAAAAATTGGGTTTAAAAATAAAAAATATTCCACAAAACTGAATTGTAGTAAAATGCCCGCAAGTAAGAATATATAGTAGACTCTCAGTTAACGTGCACCCTTGGACATTGGTACATATTGGATGTAGTTTCTTGTTGCTTGAGAGTTACTATTTAAAATGACATAATACTATATCCCATGCTATACTATACCATAAACTCTGTATTGACTTGATATCAATATTGAAATACAGTAATTAAAAGCAAATAAAGACAAACTTAGCTTACTGAAACACAGGGTTACTGTTTTACTGTATTATAAAAACTGTTTTTGTATTTAAAGCTAAATTTCGTTGTTATTATTTCTTCATTGTTTGCTGGTTTACTTGAGAGTTCTGGTTGCTTTAGTTCCAGTTCACTGATAGTCTACTATTACTATGGTAATATTAAACAGGATGTTAGGATGTGATGGGTGACAGCTGCGTGCATAATTGGTTTTGTATTTGGAAACAAAATACATTATAACACTTACAAAATGCTGACTATCACTTTTGGTAATTTTTGCAGTCAGATTAGAGCCTTTTTCCTTCAGTTATTAATTATATACTGTACAGCAGTTCCTAAGTTACAAAAAAGATAGGTTCTGTAGGTTGGTTCTTCAGGTGAATTTGTATGTAAAGTCAAAACAGGTACATTTCTTTAGTGTAACTCTGGTGCAAGTCCTGGCTGGAAAGGTCTTGAATTTTGCAAGGAGTATTGCATGTTGGCTAATTAGAAAACATAGCCAAGTAAAATGTATGTGGGCTGTAAATTCCAAATAGAAAACAAATGCACACCTGCTCATGACTAAACAATGGCTACTGCTAATAGAGACGTAAGCCACCCAATTTACAGTAAATTCAATGGATTTTGTTAAGTGACCCCGCTTGTTCCAGTGGGCATTATATACCTATTCACCTCAGTAGAATTGGAAGAGGGTGATCTTTCTTCTCTATTCCAGCCTCGTGGACACCAAAACTTTATCTTTGAGGTTCTGTGGTCAGTAGTGGAAAGTGCACTGATGCTGCAACTCCAATGCAACACTAGATTTACCTTGTGACAGGGCCACTGAAAGTGTTCCACATTGCTCCACTTCACCATGTTTCGTGGGGAAGCTGCTATCCCATGCCCCGCATCGGCAGGCTCCTCCAGCAGCTGATCCAATGGGGGCAAGCGTGGTGCCACATGGCTTCTCCCCATTAAAGTCAATGGCAACATAGGAAGCCTCATGTGTTGCCATGGCAGAGGCATGCCAGTTCCGCCCTCCTTCATCCATGGAGCTGGCACGACGTCTGATGGGAGCTTGCTGGCTACATGGGTGACCAGGGTTAGATCGGTGTATGCCACCAATTTTAGTTCCATATGATGGGGCCATGGAACATCCAATGTGTTCATTTTCTCCAGTGGCAAAGCAGGGGCATGTATACTCATATCCTAAATAAATCATACCAATATGCAAAATGGGTCCTTTACGTATTACAAGATCTAATTAAATTTTCCTTATACATTTCTGGTAAGTAATCAAAGCATTTCCATTATTCCATAGTGACAAAATTAACTCTGAAAATGAAGCAATCTTTCAGGTCAGCATTTATTAAACACATGTATGTGGAGAAGTACTTCAAGAGAAGGAGTCCTAACCATCAGACCATAGCATTCTCTTTTTGTAAACTTAACACTGAAGCCTCAAGAGTTTCCCAATAAATATCCTTTTATACCACTCATGTTACTGAAAGAAATATTTGCATATCTACCAATGCCCTCAACTTTTCTCCCATAGCAACAAGCTTTGTCCAGGAGGGAACTTTACATAGAAACCACGGATAATAGCAAACCCTATTGAAATGAAGGACCACTAGCCAAAAATGCCATAGGGTCACACTCGAAAACCTAGAGAATGTCTAAAGGTAAAGGTAGTCCCCTGACATTAAGTCCAGTCATGTCTGACTCTGGGGTGTGGTGCTCATCTCCATTTCTAAGCCGAAGAGCCAGCGTTGTCCGTAGGCATCTCCAAGGTCATGTGGCCGGCATGACTGCATGGAGCGCCGTTATCTTCCCGCCAGAGCGGTACCTATTGATCTACTCACATTTGCATGTTTTCGAACTGCTAGGTTGGCAGAAGCTAGGGCTGACAGCGGAAGCTCACGCCGCTCCCCGGAATCGAACCTGTGACCTTTCGATCAACAAGCTCAGCAGCTCAGTGCTTTAACCCACTGCGCCACTGGGGGCTCCAGAGAATGTCTAGAGAGGACATATTTTGTTGGACATGGATACCAGTCCCACAGATATGAGGGTCATACTGTATTCTTTAATTTCTGCCCACAGTAACATTTGCAGAGTTTGCAGAATGCATGTTTCCTGTTTGAAAGAAGACATTGACAGTAGATTCCTCAGTCTAAAGAGATGAAAACATCACCAAAGTCTAGCTACGATGGCCTACTTATGGTCTGGTCACAGCTCCTTTTTCTAAGCTATTGATTTCTCAAAATTGAAAATCACTTTCTGAGTAGTTACATATTTTGATCCACTGATTTCCATGCACTATTTCAATTCCATTTGTCTGTTTAAAAATTGTTTTAGTAACAAATTCATATATTACAACTCAAACATTAAGAAAATGAATTAAAACAATAGTATCAAGCATGTTGAAGCATAATCACAGCAACTAAAGCCACCTTAAATCCTCTTGGGAGAAACTGTTATTTTATTGACTGCGAAAAGTGAGAAAAGATAGGGTCACAAGCACATATTTATATTTCACACACTCTCTCTCACACACACACACATATAGTACTTATCTGGGGGACTGTAGGGCTTCACTGCATGCAACCAAACCTCTATGGAATAAGGACTACCCCCATTCCCTTCCCTTTATAGAAATGCTCCTCTTCAGTCTTTGTGTGATTAGCAGAACAGCTGTTCTTCCTATAATTGATTTAATTCAATGTTTGAAATGTGAAACATCTAGGGAATCTAAAACACTTAATTTTTCATTGACATTGAAACTCCTACTTGATTTTTGATGTGAACAGATTTTGAGTGGGCACAGGGTGCTGTGTTTCATGTTGCCTTTGCAGAACTCAGTGTTTCCCAATCCGGATGTCTGTCAGCACTCTGATTTGTCTTTGTATCAAGCCATTGCTAAGGGGAAGAGGGATTTTTACATCAATACAAAATGTGACGTGGCACACATCATTGTAAGACTTTGAATTTTACACCTAGACCTCAGGCACTACACCCTCAATTCAGAAGGATGAGAAAGTTGTGACAGTAAATGAAATTTTCATAAACTCAACTTCCTCTTGAAAATCTGGCACTGTGAATGCCTTTGATCTGCACCATTTTTCTGGCTTCTAGAGTACTGGAAAAAGGTTACAATCTCAATGTTTTGCATAATGCTTTTCTTTTCTCTCCCTCCTTTCCCTTTTGGTATTTTAATATTTTTTCCTGAATGTACCAAAATACGACTTTGCTCATTTTGAAGTGGTAATTCATGTGGCAGTGTGTGTGTACAGACAATACACATCCCCAGAATTTCTTGAAACTTGGGAAAAAATAAATTGTAAATGATAAACTTCCCTAATAGATGAATACTGCTTACCAGGGTTGAAGGACTACTGCTGTTTATTTTGTCTAGTACAAGTAAAAAAAACAAAACAAAACAAAAAACAGTAGAGGTTTACCATTTTAGACCTCTAGTAAAACTCTGTGATGAGAGTCATCAAAACTGTACTTGTTTAAGCTTTGTTCCCAACTTCTTCCCTCTGAGTTCCCCAATTAACAGTTGTTCCCAAGGATCCAGAAAGTATCAGATTCCTTTACCAAAACCAGTGTTGATCTTTTTAAAAAACTATTCCCTTATTTTTCCTTTTCCTTTGCTATATCTATTTACTGCTGAATTTGGGCCAGAAAGGCAGGTAGTTTATTTATTTATTTATTTATTTATTTATTATTTACTACATTTATATACTGCTCTCTCTCACCCTGAGGGGCCTCATAGTGGTGTACATCATGGCAAAATTCAATACCACCAATACACATACATATAAAATCACTACATAACATTAACTAAAATTGATAACATATAAATATGAATTAAAACATTAAAACACTATCCATAAAAACATCATCACATAAAACAGGATATTAACATTTCACCATTCCCATTGTTCTCATTTAGCTGCTTCATTTAGGTGTTATACTACAATACTATCACTTGCAAAACGCCTGCATGCATAACCAAGTTTTAAGTTTCTTCTTGAACACCAGGAGGGAGGGGGCTCATCTAATCTCACTAGGGAGGGAATTCCAAAGTTGAGAGGCCACCACTGAGAAGGCCCTATTTCTCACTCCTGCCAATCGCAACTGTGAAGGTGGCGGGAAAGAGAGCAGGACCTCCCCGATCTTAACACTCAAACTGGTTTGTAAAGGGAGATACATTTGGACACGTAAGCTGGACTGGAACTATTTAGGGCTTTATAGGCTAAAGCCAGCACTTTGAATTGTACTCGGTAACAGACTGGCAGCCAGTGGAGCTGACTCAGCAAGGGGGTTGTATGTTCCCTGTGCGCTGCTCCAGTGAGGAAGCTGGCTGCTGCCCATTGGACTACTTGAAGCTTCTGAACAGTCTTCAAAGGCAACCCTAGAGTGCGTTGCAGTGGTCTATTCGAGATGTAGTTCTTATCCAGTTCTAATGCACATCAGAAAATGTGTTTTCAATGGGTTTCTTTTGCATATATCAATTTACATGAAAGTGAATTCTGCTCTTCCATTATACATATTGACTGATTTTGTACATAGTCAGGACCCTATTGATGCAAAAAATGGTTGGGGGAGAAAGGTTAAAGAAATGGACATTTGACTTTCATGCAGAGTTAAAGAAGGCCAATGTCTGTTCACAAGAATATTGACTCTGCTTAAAGGTGTGCTGATTTGTGCTTTTAAAACAGTAAAAATGCCTGTACAGATAAGAGAAATAGCATGCAGTGAACAGACAATAAAGTCTGAAGAGAAACATCTCCCTGTCCCCTTCATTCGTTTTTTACACTTGAAACTCGGGGCAGCTTTGTCTGAGTAATCATAGCACTAGTCACTCATACAGAGGCTAATATTGTACTTTATATGTGCTGAATAGACTCTAATTTATTTGATTCCTTCAATTACATATAAGCTTCAGTTCAAGATGATCTTATCTCAAAGACTTAACTATATAGCTTAAACTTTATAGCTATTTAAAGAAATAAAATATGCAATAAAAATCTTGCATCTAAACTTCACTGGCTTATATGATTAGTTAAATTTATTGTTGCGATGACTTTGAGTTTTAAAGATTATTTTAAGTGTATTTCTTGTACTGTAATCTGTTTTTATCTTAGTCCACACTGTACTATTTTTTTAAAAAAAACTTTTGTATTGTACCTTTTAAATTATAACCAAAGTATGGGATTGTTAGCCATCTTGAGTCCGCACAAGGAGAAAGGCGGGGCATTTTTTTGTCATGTCAGGAGTGACTCCAGGTGTGAGAGAATTGGCCATCTGCAAGGACGTTGCCCAGGGGATGCCTGGATGATTTGATTTTTTTTATCATCCTTGTGGGAGGCTTCTCTCATGTCCCCGCATGAGGAGCTAGAGCTAATAGAGGAAGCTCATCCGCCTCTCCCCGGATTCGAACCTGTGACCTGGCGGTCTTCAGTCCTGCCGGCACAGGGGTTTAACCCACTGCGCCACCAGGGGCTCCGGCGGGGTATATGTAAAGATACTACTACTACTAATAATAATAATAATAATAATTGCTGTTGTTGTATCTTTTAAAGCAGTGATTCTCAACCTGTGGGCCCCCAGGTGTTATAATTCCCAGAAATCCCAGCTAGTTTACCGGCTGTTAGGATTGCTGGGAGTTGAAGGCCAAAACATCTGGGGGCCCACAGGTTGAGAACCACTGCTTTAAAGCTATTTCCAACTTAATGGCAGTTCTAAAGTGTACCTATCACTGGGCTTTCTTAGCAAGATTTGTTCAGCAAACTCTTTGCCTTTCTCTGAACCTAGATCTACACTACCATATAATCTAGTTTCTGAATCTAGATTATCTTCTTTGAACTGGGTTATATGAGTCTACTCAGCCAGATAATTCAGTTCAAATCAGATAATCTGTATTCAGATTATATGGCAATGTATATGAAGCCTAAGTAATTTGACTTGCCCAAGGTCAACCAGTGATGTTTCCATGGCTTAGCAGAGATTCAAACCCTAATTCCCAGAGCCATTGACCAGTGTTCAAAGCACTGCACCATGCTGACTCCTTAAGTTAAATTTATGCTATAGATTGTAACTGTAAAATAATTTTTAGATATTTTTTCTTGGTCACCAGAGTTTTGAGTGTTGCTTGTTTTCCCTGTGTTGTTTATCCTGTGTTGTTTGTTTTTCCTTTGAAGGTGACAGCTGAATTAGATGCCTGGAATGAGGACTTGCTAAGACAAATGAATGATTTCAATACTGAGGACTTGACTCTGGCAGAGCAACGTCTGCAGCGACACACAGAGAGGAAGTTGGCTATGAACAACATGACCTTTGAGGTCATCCAGCAAGGGCAAGATTTGCATCAATATATCATGGAAGTCCAAGCTTCAGGTTTGTGGAACAATACTCTGTGGCATATAAAACCTCAAATAAAAGGTTGTTTTTCTTTTGACAAAAATCAGTATAAAAATTGGATTCTCTGTCCACACTAATGATCTTTTCTAAGACAAGAGAGAAATATATGCAAGTATTCCAGATGTTCACAAAACAAATCATACCAGAAGACAATGAGGGCATAGCCAAGAGAAGAGGTTCAGCATTTCCATCCAGATAGGGTTACTACCTGATGAATTAATATGGGGGAAAATACTCAGATTTATTTTCATATCCAGTTGTTTCTTTCCTTTAAGTCTCAGGTTACCATGCTTTCACATCTATGAGAAAGATTCTCAAGGAGCTGAAAAAAAATCAAGTATCCCCCTTTTATGCCATTGAGCCAATCAGCTATGGGGACAGACTCTCTGAATAACAATTTGCCCTATCAGCATACACAGAAAAACTAAAATGAGTATCTAAGAGTCAAATTCCATTAAAGATTTTTCTGACCTACTTTTTATATGACTTTTGCCTGAGATTACCTCAGCGAGCTTATGGAGTTGACATCTCCATCTAATCACACTGAAATCACAGTGGACATATAGAAGGAAATCCTACATATTTGAGGAATCTTTATGCACACCCAGTTACTTAAGCTGCACAAAGTGCAAGGAAATTCAATAATGTGGCAAGGTAAAGCACTGACATCTTGGGATATGTGGTTTGGTAAACAGCTGAACTGAAAACCACATGGAAGTGAAAGTGCCTAATTCATTGGCTTTCCTGGCCCAAACAAAACAATGTTTTCCTTACCAAATAAGGTAGAATGATTCTTGAGCTTCACATTCAGAGCCTGGAAATCTAACCTCCCCTTTGGGAACAAGGTTCTTTCAAGATGTCAGGCATTGTACATTTGTTATAATTAGCTTGCACATAGTGTTGTATCCTCAGGACTTTTCCAGCATGAATGTCTTTGATCTGACTGCATTCACAATTTTCAATCACACACACGGCTGGTGTATTTCTGATTGCGGTAACTCCTCAGTGGCAATCAGGAAAAAGGCTAGGATATCAAAGGGCGGCCGTGATCCCCTGTGATGAATGATTTGCCCTTTTTGTCGTGTCACGTGTCACAGGGTAGCTGCTTTAAGACACATTTCTGCCATTCACGGGGACAAGGCAGAGCTATTTTACCTGTTTGTTTTAATTAACTGAAGGTGGGAAAGTAACTGCTAATTAATATTTTGATTGGATGGATTGGCATACTCTAATGCAATTAGAATATTAAGTATTCTCTGAGTACAGGCTTTTCTAAATATCTTTCTAGGTTATCATGCAGTATTACCTTGTCTCTGTGAGACTGGTATTCAGAGTTTCATTTCTCCATGTCATCTCTAGGCATTTTTATAGGTCCTTCAGCACAATTCTATGTTATTCTGGGGTCAAATATCCCTTATTTCAATAGGGCTCACTGTTATCCATGATTTCACATAACCACAGAAAGTCTGTTACCCATATTTCTATAGCATCATACTTTCATACAGCTTGTATGTTCTATCGTATATTCTACAAAATCATTTCTTAGTAACAGGCCTGAATCCAATTTAATTGGTCAACAGTTTACTCTGCCACGCTCACTTTTTTGCTTGCTCTTGTCTCATGGCCAAGTACAGATCTGTTCTTGTAACCTTTTTTAACTCCCTTGTAGCACCTGCCTTTTCAGTGTTAACCCTTTTAACCCGTGGGAACCCAGACTAGGAAGCGGTGGCCTTTTAAGGGATGATGCATACATGGGTCTGCACAGTTCCATCATAGGCACGTTGTTTCTGGTGCCAAATGTTGCTTTATTTGAGAGAGAAATTTCTGAAGAATTTTACCCTACATGATACTGTGTGCTGTAGTGTCACTGATTGCCATGGAACTATATAATAAACCACATTACAGCATCTGCCAGATTGCCTTCTCAGTACTTCAGACATCTGAATTAGTTTATTATGTAAATGTTAGGTGGTTTTGTATTAAATTTCAAAATTTTGATCACTTGTTGGCCACAGCACTTTCCTGTGTCATTCTTCGTAATCTTCATAGCATGAACTGTCTACTATTCTATCTGAGGACATTTATTTCATTGCAGGCATTGAACTAATCTGTGAAAAGGACATTGATCTAGCAACACAAGTGCAAGAGCTACTGGAATTCCTTCATGAGAAGCAGCATGAGCTGGAGCTCAATGCTGATCAGACACACAAGCGGTTGGAGCAGTGCCTTCAGCTCCGGCATCTGCAGGCAGAGGTCAAGCAGGTCTGTGTTTTTACTATCGCTCTCTGATTTTTTTGGAATGAAATGTTACACCTCGCTGCTACACATGGAGGCTGTTGAACTGCTTGTCTGCACTATGCAAAATCTGTCACACTCTAAGCTTGAATCAACTTCATATGGTCCTGGGTCTCAGAGTAAATGAAAAAAATTGAAGATTTCTCCTTGTGTGAAAGGTCTCTTAAACATTAGTGTGGGCTCTGTTCATATTCCAAATAGAAGTGTCCTCCAAGATTTTAAAACAGAATATATCTTGCAAATGCTCCGGAAGGCCATGAGCTAGTGAGGGTAATTGAAGATGTTTTATTCAGGGGTCAAAGTAGCTGCTTTACTTTAGTTTAATTCCACTGTGTTTTAAGACACCATATGCACAAAACACATACAAAATGAAAAGGCCAGTTTGTTCCTCTTTTTTGAATGATGATAAAGAAATCATGGGTATCCTCAATTGTTGTCTTGATGCATTGGTGGATACTGATGAACAAAATAAAATATAACACAATTATTTTTTTTAAATGGTTCCTGTAGATACAAGCCTGAGATTAGTGTTATTACTATGTCAATAAAGCAATGCTCCACCTTAGGCAACTGTGGAGCAGAACAAACAACTCTGCATCTGTATGCTTGCCCACAATGCCCTGCTTCATGCACAGAGGAAGAATGTTTTGAAGCTACAAACAATGTGGTTGCTGTTGGCCATTTTTGGTCTAAAATTATTTAGCCACTTGTGCTTCCTTTATTTTATCAGTTTTATACTTATTTATGCAATGCTTTTAGCACAAAATAAATAAATAAAACTATGTCAATCCAACACTCCATCTGAAAAACCACATGTGTAGCTCAAGGGTACTCACTTCAGGTTGAAGCTTAGGATTTTAGAAACCAACATAAATGAGCCAACATAAAATGCTCAAGTTAATCTGCCTTTGTAGCAAGCACTTTTAAGGTAATTGATCTTCAAATGTTAAAGGTAAAGGTTAAGGTTGTCCCCTGATATTAAGTCCAGTCATGTCTGACTCTGGGGTGTGGTGCTCATCTCCATTTCTAAGCTGAAGAGCTGGCGTTGTCCATAGACACCTCCAAGGTCAAGTGGCCGGCATGACTACATGGAGTGCCATTACCTTTCTGCCGGAGCAGTACCTATTCATCTACTCATATTTGCATGTTTTCGAACTGCTAGGTTGGCAGAAGCTAGGGCTGACCGCGAAAGCTCACGCCGCTCCCCAGAATCGAACCTGTGACCTTTCGGTCAACAAGCTCTGTGCTTTAACCCACTGTGCCACCGGGGGCTCCGATGTTAAATAAATCAATCAAATGTTAAATAAATCAGCAAAGTAATGTATATTTTTAGTACATGTTATGGATGTAGTTTCTATAAATGCTCAAGTTAATCTGCCTTTTTAAAAATAACATATCCAGAGCAAAAGACCCAGAGCTGTAGATTGCCTTGTTAATTATGTAAGATTGTCTTGACAATTGTGTAAGCTGATTGGATTTAATATCTACTACAGAAACTGTTATTATAAAAACCTCAACTTTCATTTTTAAAAAAGAAAAAAAACCTGGCTTCTGATCATCTTTTGATGTAGAATAGATTAATGTATGCCAACACACTAATTTATTCCAGTCTCACAAATGAAGTCTCATAAACTAGAAGAGGTTTGGAATGGGATAAAGGCTTGGATCTTTAGTGTTGTTCATAGTCCTTAGCATGCAGCAGCTTCTGCACCAATTCGCCATTGCTTGCATTTTGCATGGAGTGACATCTTCTCTTCTTCCACCCATTACCTTTTAACAGGGTTGACTGAAACTCTGCCTGGTTAAAGCTTTCTAATCCACATGCTTTCATGAACCAACCTTGAATCCATCACTTAACTTATAGAAGTGGCAGATAAACTGTCATTTCCAGTTTCATATAGTTTCTCCTCAGATAATACTATTACTAATAAAAAGATACATCTGTTGTCCAGTTTAAGGTAGCATAGGCTATACTGTTAGGGCAGTATAATTTAGAAGTGATGCTCAGCCTCATTACTATAGACACCTTGCTGATTTGATGCATAAAGTTCAGATAAATCTTACAAAATATTTGAAACAATTCAATTATTTTTAGAGGAAACACAAAGCTTGGTCAAGATATATAGCAGAATATGTTCTTTTCAATTGTGAGCAAAACCACTGTGGTGGAACAAGAATTCATTAACTGGGGGGTATTTCTTTTGTGAAATGTCAAAAGACCACAGCTGCTGTGAAGTTACAACTGTTTATGCAAATGTTAGTAACACTTGCATGGATATACAGACTAGGAACATGTTGCCAGTGGTAAAACCCTTTTTTTTCCGGAATTAGACATTTGCTATACCTGAATCAAAAAGTAGAGAAGACATACTGTGTTTGTGCATTGCATTCTAATAGGCTGCTTTATTTGCATGCAATGAATGTCTAGGAAACTAACATCTTGTTCCTTACTTTTGTGATGTTACTTGGGAGTCCCCTTGGGGAGATGGATGGTATATAAAGGTTTTATTATTATTATTATTATTATTATTATTATTATTATTATCAAAAAGGTTTAGAATTTAATTCTGGAGATATTGCTGGCAGGAGGACAAAACAGATTTTTTTTTTTAAGATTATGGTGTGAGATGTCGTATTCCCTCAAATTGGAACATAAACTGGACAATAAATGAAATAACTGTAAATACAGCTCACACTGACTGCTGTGTGGGCTAAATAATGTAGCGAATTGATCAAGAGTCAAGTATCAAAATGTTAGTTCAGTAGATCCAGTACATGGTAATGAAATGACGTGTGGGACTGCCCATTTGCCCAACTTTAACTCAGTATTTACTCTTATTCCCCATTACTCACCCATAATACTGTGTCACATCTTCAGTCAACTAACTTTCTTAGTGTTACACTATCATATGTTTTCTGAATGTTGCTTTCCATAAGAACTTCACGACTGAGATTTTCCTTTTACAAATGAATTTGATCACCATGCCAAATAGAGAAAGGAGAGCCAGACACTAAATTGTGTGTGTATGTTAATCCAGATGTTCCCATCTTAAATATCTTGGTGTCACCTTAGATCAAACACTAACATTTAGGAAACACTGTATGAACACCAAGCACAAAGCATGCAATAACATCCCGAGGAAACTTACTGCAGTGTATGGGGCGCAGACCCAAATTAATATGAACATCAGCTCTGGCTTTGTCTTACTCAACACCTAAGTATGCCTGCCTTGTTTGGCACAAGTCTGGCCTTGCAAAGCAGGTGAATATAGCACTGAACAAAACATGTAGAATAATCACAGATGTCTCAAACCTACACCTGTTGATAGACTCTATAAGCTATCTGGCATAACCCCCCCCCTCCCCCACGCAATGTGTGGTGGGAAGTTGTTGCTAACTGTGGGAGAAATAAGGTTGAGCACTGTAAAAGCCACCCACTGCATGGCTGTCCGCCTCCTACCAGCAGACTCAAGGAAATGCTTCATGAGCACCACAACTCCTCTTAATGTTCCCCCAGCAACAACAAGTGTATCCCTCTGGCAGCTAAACCAAGAAATCCCAATGGGATGGCCCCCCATGAGGGTCTCCTTCCAGGAGCAAACCAAGAATGGGCAACTTGGAAGTCCCTGAACAGACTCAGAAGTGGAGTGGGCAGATCAAAAGACAACCTGGCAAAATGTTACTACTTAGAAGAATCCTCCACCTTGTGCGACTGTTGAGCAGCCAAACAACTCCGCATCTCTATGCTTGCCCACAGTGCCTTGCCTCATGCACAGAGGAAGAACAGTTTAAAGTTACAGACAATGCCGTCGCTGTTGGCCATTTTTGGTCTAAAATTATTTGGCCACTTGTGCTTCCTCTATTTTATCTGTTTTATATTTATTTATGCAAAGTTTTTGACACAAAATAAATAAATAAATACATCCAGAAAGATTCTAGATGGAGTAGTAATTATGTCCAGGCTTCCCTCTATAATCCATACTAATGGTGCTGATACATCATCGAAGAGAAAGTAAGATTCAAAGGAAAGGAGGCAGATGTACACTTGAAACTGACTATATCTACAATTGAGATGTTTAATGCTGGGAAAACAGGAACAGTGTTACCTGTAGGATCCTATGTTGAAAAGTATCTGCAAACTGTCCAGAAACCCATGTGGAGCACATTAAAGACTTATGAAGATCTGCAGTGTTTGCTTATGGCTGTAACTAATTTTGAATCTTCCTGTTCTTGATTTGATTTAGGAACTCTCCCAGTACATGATCTGCTCTGTAACATTTCCTACAAATTCCTTCATATTTTAAGAGAAGGCTATTGTTTTAATAGATGTGAATGAGTCATACTACTTCCATTGTGTTCTCTCACCATCTATATAATTTAAAGACAAAGCAAAGCGCCATTGCTTTAGGAGTGAACTTTCTGACTACTGCAAGAGAGATGTTAACAGCTGTGGTTCATTAGAGTTTCTGTCGCTTTATTGGGGAACCTTCGCACTTGGGTGCTTTTCAGCAAAACCCATGTTGAGAGTTCATTTTATTTGTTCAGCTGAATACTTTAAAAGTCAATTGATTATTAACCTGTGAATTATTGCAGCTATAACTTTCCCTGGAAAGAACTGGGTTTAAATATATCAATGCCCTGTCATAAAGTGGCTGGATTTGGCTTCCTGTGGGATGAGTCATAATCAAAATCACTTAGTAAAATTGGAATCTATATTGATTTTGGCATCTTCTTCACTTCCAATCCAGATCCAAATGGGCTTCACTTTCATTGTAGGATATCTGAAATGATGAATGGTCTTAAACTCATTACCAAATTGCCCTTGCTCCTAAGAGCACAGGAAGAATGGGCTGCCACCAACCTGTTCTTGGTGCTAGCCCTACTTAGCTTCTGCTGATGCAGTAAAAACTCTGAAGAGGCTATAATGCCTCCATATAGTTGCTTTTTAACATAATAGCAATTGGAAA